TCAATAATTGAGTGGTATCCGTTCACACATTGCAGTCAATGCAATGAAATGCAGATATTAGCATGGAAGAAACGAGAAGCGCACCAATAGTACAAATAATGTGTAGCCTAATCACTCATCTCCGCATTCTCAACCTCTTCACCCTCCTTCGGCTTTTCACCCTCAGCAACCTTCTCGCCTTCAACCTGTACAACTATCCCACTAGTCGCCTCCCAATATGCCCTCAATCCCACCCTGAACTCAATCATCTTCACGCCGATCAACTTCAGCAGTTGCGCTTGTTCAGGTGTAAGCGTCTTTCCCTCCTCGCATACTTTATGAGGTGCCTCCAGTGTGGGAACACCCCGAACCATCGTCGTGTGCAGCCCAAGTTTTCGTAGTTGAGGTTCTTCGTTGTGAGGGAAAGGTTCTGGCGGATCGGAGTGCTGTTGCATGACGGGTCCGGCGGGGAGAATGAATGTTTTTGTTGCGGGGTTGCCTGACCGTGCGAAGTCTGGCGGGTGGAAGTCGGCAAACCACTCGGTGACTTCTTCAGGAGGAGAATTTGTGAACATAAGGCCGACTTGACCTTTTAATTGCTATCTGGAGTGTTAGTCCCGATCATAGGGTAGAAGCTATCAAAGGACGTACTTGTGCAATTTTGTGCAATCCTGGCTTGTGCTCTTCCTCTGGTGTTGTGCCCAGTGCTTTTGCCATTACGGCTCCTCTGCCAAAGAATATCCGCGCAGAGCTGTCACCGAACCTTAGCAAAGCTGTAGAAAGATAAGTAATATTCACGCACTCTTTCCACAGCTTTCGGACAGTTTTAAGGTGTGCATTCCGCATGTTACCCACTTCAAATAACCAGCAGTATTGCCATTTGTCGGCATTTTCTTGCACCTGGAGAATTAATGAAAGAATGTCTAACACATCGTCGAGCACACAGCTCACAGCATAACGTACCTCATTGATGAGTGCGCCCTTTTGTTCTTTGGTCTTCTTTGCGACCTTGGTCAAAGAAACTAACGAAGACGTTAGGGAGATACTTGCATAGGTAGATTTAGATTCATACCCAACTTGGCTCGCTTGGACTTCGGCATTTTGTCTGACTGCTCGGTCTATTGAATTACGATATTGGGTATGTAAACGAGCAGACTCCAGAGTATGTTTTTGGAAGTGGGGAAGACAAGGGGAAGATACAGAAAACACGAGGCCGTGTACTGTAAGGAGACGAGCACTTCAGAAACAAAGTTGGATCTTATCTTATCCTTTCAAAATTTCCCTTCCGATCGGTCGTCCGATCATCTTATCTTTCTCCGCAACCTCTCTTTTAAGACTCGAGTTTCACTTCCAGTTCCATCTCATCCTCTCTCAGCATCTCTCGTTATACATCTTTCTGCACCTCTTCGTAGACTACTGTTCTGCAACATAAAAGCCAGGCGATATGTCTGCACCATTTCAAGTTTCCCCGGAGGAGTTGTCTAATCTCGAAGCCACCCTTTTGAATTCATCTGGAAAGGTCCCGCTGCATAACCGATTCCGATCACTCTTCACTCTCAAGGCTCTGAAGAACGACGAGGCTGTCAACATCATCTCAAAAGGTACGATGTTTGCATGCATCGTTATGAAAAGAACCTGAAAAGTCGGTTGTTTGCAGGCTTTGCGGACGAAAGTGCCTTACTGAAGCACGAGCTCGCATATTGCCTCGGACAAATGAAGCGTACTTCTGCACTTCCGATACTCGAGTCCGTCCTTGCGAATGAGAAGGAGGATCCCATGGTTAGACACGAGGTACGTGTCCTTTTTATGATCCATAAACCATTCATAACGAGACTTCCTATGGTGAAGTAGGCAGCAGAAGCACTTGGCGCCATCTCCTCAACTTCCGCTATCCCAGTCTTGCAGAAATACGTCAATGACCCCGAGCGATGTGTCCGTGAGACGTGCGAGATTGCGCTTGCAAAGATTGAATGGGATAATAGCGACGAGGGTAGGAGACATAAGGAGGAAAGGGAAGCCAAGGCAGACCAACTGTGCGTTTACTACCTTCGATCATGCCTCGTTCTCTCTTAACGTTGATGTTGACATAGACCATATACTTCGATTGATCCCGCACCTCCTACGTCTTCTCTGCTTTCTGGGAAGCCCTCCAAGCCCGAGGACACCTCCGAGGAGAGCATCTCTGCTCTCAAAGCGAAACTACTTGACAAGAGTCTTCCTTTGTTCGAGAGGTATCGAGCAATGTTCGCACTGAGAAATATTGGCACGAAGAGTGCCGTCGACGCACTTGCAGCCGGCTTTGAGGATGATAGTGCTCTATTCAAGTATGCTGCTTTTGCCTCTCCCTTCCTTTTGCCTGTGCTGACTACCGAGTGATAGGCACGAAATTGCATTCGTGTTCGGTCAATTGCTCAGCACTGATTCGATCCCTTCCCTTCTGAGAGTTCTTGAGAACGGCAACGAATCTGACATGGTCCGACATGAAGCTGCAGAAGCTCTCGGTGGAATTGCCACCCCTGAGGTATTACCCTACTTGAAAGAATGGGCAAAGAGAGAGGATAGCCCGAGAGTTGTAAAGGAGAGTTGCTTGGTTGCTTTGGATATGTGGGAGGTAAGCTTTACATCCTCTGAACATCTTTGTATCCCACTCATGAACCCCTTTGCAGTACGAGAATTCTGGGGAGTTCCAGTATGCGAATGGGTTGAATAACTCGGCTCCTTCCATCGTCGATTCTGTCGGTGCTTGACCCCTTTTGTTATTTGTACCATTTTCATATCTGTTGGGTATGCCGGATACAGCTGATCATTGGTCTCTTCCGTGTAGTTATACAAAAACTGTAGCGCGATAACCTGTAGTAATACACAGCACATAAATAAAAATGGAGAATACACCGCACATGGGTTGTATCTCTTCTGTGAGTCGTAAAGATCGTGAGCGCTGAGCCACGAGAGGCTACAGAATGAAGGGAAAACAGAGAAGACCTCAGTTTCTCTTCCTGGTAGCCTTGGCCGAACCCCTAGTTCCGCTATCTTCCCCGTCCAACTTCCTTTTCTTCGCACTGGCAATTCCCCCGCTGGGGGCTGTCTTGTATCGTCTCGGTGTTGCCTTCTTGGACTGTTGTCAATACCACAATTTATGACAGGAAGTCACAAAGTCAGAATGAGAACTTACTTCATCTTCGAAAAGGTTTAATTCATCTTCATCGCTACCATCTTCATCCTCACTGAGCACGAGAGCTTTTCGTCTTGATCTTGAAGTTGAAGTGCGGCCTCTCTTGGTCCCTGCTCTTCCCCTTCCCCTTGTGTTTTCCTCAGGGCCTTCAAATACAGATCCATCATCCGCAGAACTTTCTTCTATCGACTCAGGCTCCTCTCCCTCGGGGTAATATTCAATCTTGCCAACGGGCTGCTTCCCCTTCCCATTATTCGTGTTCGATGGCCTAGCCTTCTTGGGAGTTCTACCCGCACTAGCACTCTTCCGTCGACTGCCGTTGGCAGTGACAGCAGTAGAAGTTGAAGCAGCAGACTGAGCTTCAGACAGATAGTTCGCTTCTTGCTCTTCCGAATCTGTTTCCTCTTTGATAGGCACCTCCACCACAGCTGTCACGCGACGAATTACGCGGGATTGTACAATAGATGGACGAGGGGCAGTGATTGGTGTACGAGCGAGATTTTGTACTCCATGCTGAGTCTGTTTAGGGGTCCTAGATGGGCCTGCGACTGTATTCTTGCCTGGAGTATCTATGGGCAAAGGTTCCTCTCCGTTCGAGGTACTTGTTTTGAATGGTGGTCGAGGTTGTGACTTCCTTCGGGGAATGGTGTCCAACGGGTCTTGCGAGGCCTGTGAAGGGGGCGCCTGAGATTGGAGTGGAGGTTCAAGCTTAGGTTGGGAGACCGGTTGGCGAAGTGCTGGAGTCGAGCGGCGTTTGATGGATTTAGAAGGGGAGGAGGGGCCGGCGCCATTGGCAGTGTGAAAGTAGTCCTATGAGAGGTGTACGGTGATAAACGCATCGTGCATATACCTCGTTTCAATTAGATTACGCACCGACGTGAAGTCTTCGAGAGCGGCGATCAGTTTCGTTCGCTCTGCTTCGGCTCGAGTGTACTGATCTTTCCAGGTCTTGATTTCCTGTTTTGAGGTTTCCTCAAGTATGGACAATTGTCTCTTGTAATGTTGGACCTCGTCCCTCAACTGAACGATGGTGTCTGCTTGGTGTCTAATCTGCATTACGTTTCTTCAACAATACGCGTCTGACAGCGTGAAGGCAAACCCACCGTTAGCTCGGATCTCTCTATCTGGTACGCAAAGTAATCAGAAGTTAGCGTTACATGAGACGACAACAACTACTCACCGACGCCTTCAAACCATCCTCCTTGCGTTCCCACTCCTTTTCCTTCAGCTGCATAGCGTGCAATTGCTGCAGTGCATCGTCTCTCTCCCGCCGTGCCTCCTCCAATTCGGCATTTGCATGATCGACCTGTCCGGCTGCGTGCTCTTCTACCGCTGCCAACTACCACAATGATTGGCGTTCAATTCGGCTATTACGATTCAGCGTAGGCCACTCACCGCGAGATTGGCAGCCTTCGAGAATGCATTCAAGGCATCTGCAAGTATGGCTGGTGGTGCAGTGGGCACGGCGGATGTCGACCCTTTCGCCATTAGTGGTTTGATCTTTCGTGCAGTTGAACGTCGCGGTGGGAGCTACAGTCGCGAGTAGCCGATCGCGTTCAACCAAACGCGTCTCAATCGGCCGATCACGTGCTAACATTCTCTCAAAATATTTCGACCGTACTACTCCTGGTCACTCCTCCTTGAATGTGCACATTCTGAAAAACACGCACAGGTTAGATAGTATTTCTTTGGGACTTTAGCGGCCGCCAATGAAATGGATACATATATTCCGATAGCTTCAAGTACTAGTTGATGTGACTTGGGGAGATCTTCAGACATCCAGAAACCCATCAAACATCTTACCGAATTCAACGAGCACTATGATTGTACTACAACACAACAAATGTAAGCCCGCCTAGCTCAATCGGATAGAGCGTCAGACTTTTACGGCGGGTTGAATAACCAGGTCGGTTATCTGAAGGCTGCGGGTTCGACCCCCGCGGTGGGCTATAATCATTTTCGACTGTTCTCAGTGCAGAACCACTAGTTTCCGTCTCTTTTTGTTCGAGCAGTGCAGCACGGTGATAGTACAGCAGTCAGAATTAAGGCAGCGATACGATCAGATCCACTCGTGTGGAACGACATGTTCTACATAACATAACCAGTACTGTACTGTCATCGTGCATTTAGTTTGATCTTGATCTGAACAGGAATGAGTTCTGCAGGAGTGATATCCACAATCTGTATTGGAATTGGAGAAGTTGAGTCACAGTGCAGCACAGAGGTGGCCATAATAAGTGATACGAACCTTTCTCGCAATTTCTTCCCCACCTACATCCCATCCAGTTTCCGCCACAGGAAGCACGACGTTCGTAATGAAATCGCTCACGAGCTTGCCGATGCCGTACTTCTCTCCTGCGAACTTCCGCCATCGGATAATGTTATTAAGAAGTTTGCGCTGTCTTGAGAGATATCTTCGACGGGCAGGGATAGCTTCGGGGTCGAACTTCGGCTGATTGAGTTGTAGGTATGGTTGAAGCGTGGCTTCAGTGGAAGATAACGCCTTGTGGAATGCGGTGAACGCGGCTTTGAATATCAGCTAGAGCGCATTATACGTGAGCCGTTGGACTTCAATCACAATGCCAGCGGTACTGACCTCGAATTTGATGTTGTCTTTCGGTACTGATATTTCTACCTCCTCGCACAAGTCGATGAGCCTCCGAACATCTTTGAGCGAGTATGGATCCAATCCACCGCGTTCCACGATCTTAGCGATACGTGGTATGATGGCCGTGGAGATCATGGCAGAAACGAGATCGCCGTCTGGTCCCAAGGCAGATTCACCACCAGATTCATCTGGTGGGTGAGAATATTCGTGGAGAGCGGTGTACCACTTGAAGGAATCCAAGCTCTTTTTGCTCTAATATGGTCTCAGCATCGGTCAGGGAGCGTTCGAGATAAGGCATACCTCGATAGGGTTCCATCCTATAATCTCCAAACGCGTCCAAAACTCCCAAGCACTGATCATGCCCAACCCACCCCATGCGCCCACATAGATATCACTGAACCTCGATCTCCAGTCACCAAACCATTTCCCTAGACCTAACCGCGGATCTAGGAAGTCCTTTGCACGTACGTCGGATAGAATATCCCGGGATTTCTCAAGAACTTTCTCAAGGGCGGCAGAATAGTCTGCTGCATCCGGAGGTGGCAGAGAAGCGTCAGTCGAATACCCCTCCTCTTCCTGTGAGCGCACGCCTCGTGCTCGTCTGTGGATGCGGCGTGCTTCCCGCGCGGACCGCCTTTCCTTTCTTGCGACAGCTGGGTTTGCTTGGGGCACGACGCGCCCCAGATCATCCATTTCATCCTCTTGCGGAGTTGTCGGCAATGCACCGAGAAATAGAGACAAGTCGTCTGCTTCGTCCGCTCTTCGTCTCTGTTCGACCATATCGTATCTTTCCTGCAGTAAGGACAGCTGCTCATCTTCCAGGTTTTCCAAGAGAGGGAACTTGAAGCAAGAACATTTGAGCTTAATACACATATAGATACGACTCCGAATAATACCTTCTCGTCAAGGAAAGTAGCAACACTTTCTACCCATTCGCGGAAAGCAGCAAACCAACTCCTCTTCTCCTCCGCTTTCGCGATAAGTTCACGCATCTCTTTCTCGCGCATCTCCAATTGCTTCTGCTCTTGATCTAGAGAAGCCATAGATGCAGTGTGTTCAGAGTGTGACGTGGTGAGCTGTGACAAGGACTGAGTAAGCCTCGCTATGGCGGGACCGAGAGTAGGAATAGGGGTAGCAGGAGGGACTATGGAAGATGGTCAGCATTATATCGGTGACGAAAATGGAGCTCATGCGAACTTGCGGCGGGCTTATAGGTGGCTTTCTGTGGCTTGGGTATCACTTCCTCGATACCATGTCCGCCTCTTCGGAGTTGTTCTTGTTCCCATTCCATGGTTTCTTCGTCTTGCTCCTCGCTGAGTGGATCATTCAGTAGTTAAATTCGCGTCAGAGGTGGCTATTGCTACATACGCATCTGCGATGAGCTCGTTCATCTCTTGGCGTTTCTTCTTCGCCTCGAGCTTCTTTGATTTCTTTCCTAGAGCAATACGCTCTTGTGCGGAGGTATACTCAGCAAATTCTACAGATAATCGGCATACATAAATAGATACTCGAAACACATGTGCTCTCACCATCGTCGCCTTCTCCAAGTTCGTCTTCTTCGCGCACAAGTCGGCTCATTGGGTGAGGGCCTTGATCCTCACGCTTTGAGACGGTCAAAGAGATGAAGTCCTCGCTGACACCGGTGGCGCGCATGCGCTCACGCTTTTGCTTCGCCGCTTGGATGGAAGAACTAGACGGTATAACAGTCGGAATGTCATCATCAGCTACTATCAGGACCATTAGTATCTACACCACATTGAGAGAACTGAAGTCTTACCAGTAAGATCCACTAAGGTCGATGACTGAAGCGCATCCGGGTCCATTGAAACATCGGCATCGTAGGTAGTAGATTCTACCTCAAGCCTAGGTCTTGCCGAAGGCGTCGCAGCCTTCAGCTCAGACAAATATGCAGCATCATATTTCGGTTGGGATGATGTCGCAATGCTCGGAGTAGAAGGGGATCCTGCTGCAGGGCTAGTATTATCAGTCAGTGACAGTACAAGTGAACTACATCCATTGCTACAAACCTTCCTTCCTGTCTATTCAATGTCAATTTACGGCTGAGGTTGGACTTCTTGACCTGGAAAACCTCGCCGTCTCCTTCCTGCCTCCGCCTTCCTTTAGTAAGCGCCCTGGAACAGCATAGTAACATTCTCACCTCATCCGGGCCACCAAAGCTCAATCGAGTCTGTGGTTTCTTCCGTGCCTTGTGCTTGCTCTTCACCTTCGAAGCAACGACGCTAGGGGAGTCTTCGCCTGTATCCATTGCAACGGCTCCGTCATCTTCCTCGGCCAGGTCGCGAGCACGTCCCCCCCTCTTCGGCTTGGGCTTCTTGAAAGTCACTCCTTCGTCAGACATACCTGGCCACGATCGAGGTCGACGGCAAAACCTCTCTGTTCGCTATGCTTGCCGTTGAGCTGAAAGTCGAGTTGAAGTCCGGTGTTGCGTCACAGTCACAGTCACGTGGGTTGTGTACGCTGCGCGATCGCGTTTTCCCACGGTATCAACTTTCTCCCAGACGGCGATGTCGACGCGCCCCAGACCTCGTCCCAAACCACGCGCCCGCGTAGCGTCCAGTGCCCCGCCGTCGTCGCCAGGGGGCCCAGCGTCGAGAGTTGCCACCCCGCTCACAAAGGTCGTCGAGATTGAGGACGAGGATGCTCTCTTCATTAGAAACAAGACTACCGCAGATCAGGCGTGGAAAAGTGTTGAGCGGTATTCCGCAGGTACGGCTCACGTTGTGCTTATATACGCGAATGCCATTGTACTCATAACGGCAACTTTACAGAACGAGACAGGTCCTCATCACCCGTCGAAATCAACTCGGATTCGGACCATGATTCACCCTCGAATCCTCCGAGGAGGAAACGCAGATTCAAAAAGTCGGACAGCAAGGATGCTATGCCAGCATGGACAAAGTCTGCGAACGCCATAGTGTAAGTCAATGCGGCTCGTGTCACTGCGGGTATATTCATCAGATGCGCCAGCATATCTTCTTCCGATGACGACGACGACGATATAATTCTTGGAAGGATTGAATCTTCCGAACCGGGTACCAAACGCGCCTCCCGTGGGCTTGAGAGACGGGATAGGAAGCGGCAAAGAAGTAGATCTCGCTCCATTACTCCTCCACCTGCTGTCCCTGCTGCGACTATGCAGTTCGCTTTGGACACTGTTCGGTACGTAACCTGTTATGTTTGGAGCCAGACAGAAACCTTATCGGCCGTTAGGCGCATGCTTGACATTGAGAAGCCGTCCGAACCCACCATCGTCTTGGATGAATCTGATGACGAAGTTACCTTGGACCCTGAGTTAGCTCGTATCGCTGCTCAGGTCAAATCTGACGTCTTGCGACAACAGTCCGAAGGTCCCGCGTTCAGTAGAGGTACTACACCTGCACTGGAAGGTGGTCCAGAGCAAGTCGCGATCAAAGTGAGGTGGAAACCTCATCCTCTTAACGAGACAGCCAAATCCGAGCTATGGGAATTTCGTATGAAACGCGTGCGTTTGTGGTACAATGCGCATCTCTCGATACTGAGACATTTCCACCCAGCACGACTCATTCCGACAGCTCTTCGAAGAAGTGGCGGACCTTGCAGCTGTCCTTTCAGAACATGTCATTGTTACTTACAATGACAAACGCGTATTTCCCTCTGCATCTCCTCATGGAATCGGTGTCTGGGAAGAAGCTGAGCTAGGTATGTAGAACGATCCTTTCTACCACCAGTATGGTGTTGAATTTCTGGGCAGAGGCCTGCGAGAAGAGGACGTATGATTACATTCGCTCACATCGACGCCGCTCCCCATCTGTCACAAACTTCCCCAACGACTCGCCGTCGAAGGCACGCGGTTTATCTCCCACTTTAGAGGAACCTGAGGAACCCGACGATGGTCCCGAAGAGGAAGATGACAAGTTCAAGCTGACTCTTCGTTCGGCTGCCACTAAAGACATCACGTTAACTGTCCGTCCGACAACAAAATGCAAGGCCATCATCCAGGCGTTTTTGAAGCAGGCGGGACTCGCAGACAAATACCCCACAGCTCCTGCAAAGCCTGCCGGACGCAGAGGCAAGGCATCCGCACCTTCTCTACCTCAACTCATGGTTGACGGAGACAAATTGGATCCGGAGAGCGAGATTTCCGTTGCAGACTTGGAAGATGGAGACCTTGTCGAGGTTGTTGGGCTATGAAAGGTAGCAGCGATTCTGGTGAGACTGGTCAGATTGTCTTTCAAACTCCAAGGTTATCCTTTAACTTTATTATCACCTTATACACTGTCTGTTATTTCTTGGCGACTTCATCACTTGCATGGATCATTTTCTCTCCATTTTGCTGGTTGT